TCAGCCGTTTTTCATAACACCTTAAGGTAAAAGAAATCAAAATCGCCTTTTTAGAAAATAAGCATATTTAGGTGCCTGCAAAGGTTATTGAATAATTGTTTTTAAAGAACTTTGAAAAAGTTCATACAAATGATCATTTTTAAAAAACGTTTTACAAAAACTTTCTTGTATTATTATTTTTAATTGCGTTTGTCTCAAAATACGTAAAAAGCATCTAAAGGTGTTTTGAAAAACGGGTAATGTGTTAAATACGTTCACCTCAAACTTTTCATCGTTTTCGTAGAAATGAACTTCATTCCTTGCTTTGAACTAACTTTGACTTAAACCCATAACTAGCTAAACCGGAGGTAACCAAATGTGCTTCATTAATTAATTCGGGCCAAGAATATCTAAATTCATTAGATCCTCGATAGGAACCCTCATAAGCTTCATTTCTTCATCTGAAGTAATGTTTCCTGATTGAAATGACACGCTGACAATTGCTTGGCGCGCTTCGAACCAGAAGGTTGTCATAATGATAAACTAAAATGAATAGATCCATTTCTCCAAAAACTTTACGTCATTCAATAGATCAGCAGTTAAATCAGGTTCCGGAAGTTTCTGCAAAGAAAAAATAGTTTCTCTAAGTTGCTTAACCAACGGCTTCAAAGTCTCAATCCGTGCACTCAGTCGGGTTTGTGAGGTTTAATAAAGAGACAAACCAGTTGTCTTGGTCAAGATTCGACATTGTATAGGGCTTCCACTAAAAAGATTGTAAAGTAACTGAGTCCGGCCAAAATAGTTCTTCATTTCTACAGAAGATTCAAGGGAATAAACACCAGCTAGGTTAAGGTTATGAGCGCTGCATAGCATTGAGAAAGCTTCAGGATTTTTCTGAAGGATGATCGCTTTTACTCCTTTGTACACACCAGACATGTTGGCATCGTTATTGTACCCTTTACCTCAACAGTTCTTCAGATTGATGTTATTTTGATCCTAGAAATCCATAATTATCTTGGCAATATCCACAACTTTCTTTTGTTTAAGATTTTCGAACTTTATAAACCGCTCCTTAACTACTTGTTTTTTTCAATACTATTGTAGACAAAGCGAAGAACAAATGCAATTTGCTCAGTATAAGAGACGTCAGGCGTTCCGTTGACAAGAATAAAATAGTAAAATACTATATGCGCATTTTTAATGATAGCACCGTGGGCGATTCTTCCTTACTTTTTTCAAAATTCATTTTGGGAACTCCAACCCAAAAAATGCACAATAATTTGTTTACCTTCATGTTGACACCAGGAAACTCCTTTCTGATGTAACTAAAGGGTCTTGTTGTACTTTGCGAGTAGCTCTAGAGTTGCAAGAAAATTGCCGTTATCGTCATCATTGATCAGTTTTGAAGAGTCTAAAACAAGGATTTTAATACTTACATGTAATAATAGATGTTTACGCATATAAACCATGACTTTCTGTTTAATTATAATAAAAATAAATTATGACATAAATATAAATACAATAATTAACATTCACTAATATACCTCTAAAGCGTGATGCTAAGAAGAAAGTTACATCTAAGATGCACTTTAAAATTTCACGCTGCCTGGCTGCCTCATTTCTTATTGATTTTTCTAAACTCGAATCAATTTCGCACCGGTTTCCCTTTTAGCGCTGTTTTCCACTTAATGTAATAGTCTCGATGGATTGTTTTAATGGCATTTTTTAACTCCATTGATGTCACCATTCCATATTTAATATATATATATATATATATATATATATATATATATATATATATATATATATATATATATATATATATATATATATATATATATATATACATTTTGATTATATATGCTCTTTTTTAACCTAGCAGCCCTTGAAAGTATTTTCCCGCAACGGTTTTGGCTAGTGTCAGACTCCCGAATATGAATTCGGCTAATGCTGTATTGTTGAGTAAACAATTCATTTTTAAATTACAAATTTAAAGAGTTTTTCATTAAAGCCCTGTGTATCTATTTTATAATTAAAAAAAAAAGTTTTTATTTGTGCCCCCCTTCTGATCTATTTAATAATTAAAAAAAAAAGTTTTTATTTGTGCCCCCTTGCATGGTAGTTAAAAAGAGTTTCCCATAAACTGTAGTTTTAAAGAGCGCGTTAAGAAACCAGACCAGAAAAAGTTTAAAAACTTAAATTTTTTTTTTTTATAAATAATAGACTGCCTGCCCAAACCAAACCCTCAGTCGATGTAGCAGCACTCTCTCGCGAGTCAGGCTCTTTGTCAATCGACGTAACAGCACTCCCTTGCGAGTCAGGCTATTTGTCAGTCGATGTAGCAGCACTCCCTTGCGAGTCAGGCTATTTGTCAGTCGATTTAACAGCACTCCCTTGCGAGTCAGGCTATTTGTCAGTCGATGTAGCAGCACTCCCTTGCGAGTCAGGCTATAAGATAGTCGATGTAGCAACATTTACGCATGTTTTAAAAATGTTTTTTAATAAAACAAAAACAAAAACACTACTAATTAAAAAAAACTTTCTAGTCGTTATTATTGCGGTTTTTTAAAAACATTTTAAACACCAATAAAATTTAATGTACTTCCGCATTAATTTAATTGCTTTGACATTTCGACGACAATCAAATACAGCTTAAGAGACGAGGTAATTAAAATTGTAGTCGAAAGAGACTTTTTTTACATTAAAACGCTCTTTCGACTACACTTTAAGGATATATATGTATATATATATATATATATATATATATATATATATATATATATATATATATATATATATATATATATATCCCAATGCTGTTATATTTTTGTTAAATATAACGGCATAATTTTTTAGTGTATACTTTTTATAAACTTGGTACGAAATAAAACTTCGCTTAAAAAACATACCAAAACCTGAAATTAAAATTTTGTATGATTTTACCATATCTAAATGAAATTTAGATATGGTATAATAATAGAAGAATATTCAAAATATTTTAAATAGTAAAAGATTTATTTTGCAATAAAAATAATAAATATATGAAAAAAAAATTTAATATCATTTTTTTTAAAGTATTTCCAATATTGAATTATTCAAAGTAATCCTCCTTTGCCTTCAAAACTGCTGCAAAAAAACTTAAGCATTTGTTCTATTAATTTGTTTTAAAGGTGAAATTCAGAAATATGTGGTGAAATTCAGAAATATGTTCTAAAATAAAATAAATAAGAACTTGAAAATGTATCATTCTATTTTGAGTACAATAAACTTATTAAATACCTTAATAAGGAAATAATGGAAATCAATAAAAAAAAAGTAATAAATTAAGAAACAAAATAATTATAAATAAAGAAACAAAATGTATGCTCAATAGCGCATCAAAAATACTTTCAATATCTCAGTGGGGCGACTGATTAAGTGTAAGTTTTATAACAGCGAATCTACATAAATGCAAACTGACATGATTGTGAATTTCCTTTGGTGCAAAAATAGTTGCAAAAACTCTCTTAAGTACGCTAAAAGAATTTATAGGCATTGGTATAAGTGGAGAATTGAAATAAGTGCTAAGCAGTTATAAAAACTGGCATAATTGAAAACTATTTTAAGTGCAAATTGCCAATTTGCACTTATAACAATGTTTGCAAATTCTTTTAGTGCACTTATGCCAGTTTGCGCTTATGCTTATTTGCACTTATGCTAATTTGCACTAATGCCTTTTTTTACTTACGTCAATGTTTGCTAATTATTTCGGCACACTTTTGCCAGTTCACAGTAGTGCCAGTTTTTGCAAATTCTTCTCATTAATGAAATTCACACTTATTCAGCCTCCCTGTCTCAGCTACTTAATCTTACTTATCGTAAAAGTAAAACCGAAACAAAAAAAATGTATAGTTACATTATTCGTAAAATGTATATTTTGATTTTATATCTGATTTTGATTGCATATATTGTATATATGATTGATTGCATACGTGATTTTTCTTAAACATTGGACGATTTTTTCCAGACCGATTACAAGAAGCTATTTACTAACCAGAAGTTAAGTAATTAGTGAACGATAGGCTTTAAATTTCATTTAGATATGGTAAAATCATACAAAATTTTAATTTCAGGTTTTGGTATGTTTTTTAAGCGAAGTTTTATTTCGTACCGAATTTATAAAAAGTATACATTAAAAAATTATGCCGTTATATTTAACAAAAATATAACAGCATTGGGATAGAATATAACAGCATAAATGGCATTATTTTGTGTCTTTATGGTGTTATTATGCTGTTATTTTTTTCAAAAATGCTGTTATATTTATTTAAATAACAGCAAAATGCCGTTATTTAAATTTAAATAACAGCAAAATGCTGTTATATCATTATCCAATAGCGTTATATTTGGTGTTATATTCGAAAACTAAGCTAACAGCATAATATGCTGTTATTTATATATATATATATATATATATATATATATATATATATATATATATATATATATATATATATATATATATATACATATATATATATATATATATATATTTACATATTTTGTTTTTATTCAAGTAAAACTTAAATCATATACACACTACATTATATAATTAATACCCGTTATCTATGTATTTAACAATCTTTCAATGCTACTATTACTAGTAAGGCATAAAATACATACTATAAAATACTTTAAATATATACAATGACGAAATAAATTCATTTTAACATAATTGTTAATAAAACACCAAAACCATTTTATATCAATGATCTACTAATAAATCTGGTAAATTATGTAATAACTAATTAAATCAAGAATTAGTTTTTATATTTTTAATTATATGTCGAAAAATACATTTTCAAAACATTACAAAATCAGTTTATTATTTTTATTATTTCAAAGAAAGCTTTATTTCCCAACTTTTTTTTTAAAGTAACAACTTAAATATAAAATTATAAGTAACAACAATAAGTAACAACTTAAATTAAAATATAAAATAAAACAATTTATAAAATAATAAAGTTAATAACTAGTAATCGCATTTAAAAAATTAAGTTAACTGTTTAATATAAGAGAAAGTCTTTGATTTTTTTTCAAAGCTTTCATTTAGCAACATCTTCTGGAAAAGGCCTATCAGCTGTGAAAAAGAAAATGGCTACGATAGATCTAACAAATAGTAAATGGTAACAATAACGTATAAAACCTCTTTAATCGTCTGTAAATCTGTGCTAATTATTTCGCATCCTGATCTACTGTGAACGCCATATTGTGTTGAGTTGAAAAGAACTTTAAACTGTACTTTGCATGTATCTTGAACTCATCGACCACTAGTCAATAGTATATTCTTAAAACAATTTATGCTAGAAATCTCAACGAGAATATAACAAAACTCAAATAAAACAATTTTTAAAAATATTTCAACAGAATACTCTAGAACATTCGGTTAGTATTTTTTGAACCAATAGAATTATTTGTTTGTAGATTTGGCGGGTTTTTTGGGTTCGCAAATATTCTTTTTTTATTTTTCCCCACAAAAATGTTTGAGAAAAAATATTTTAAAATTTACAATAAAATAACTTAATTATTATTTTGCGGACAAACAAGGAAACATACATAAACCTAAATGTTCTCAAATGACTAAAAAATCTGGCCATTATTTTGCAACTAAATATTATTTCTGTGGTCAGTTATAAAGTGCGATCGCATCTGTTTTCTGACCAAGCCTGAAATATATATATATATATATATATATATATATATATATATATATATATATATATATATATATATATATATATATATATATATATATATATATATATATATATATATATATACATACATTAAAAAAAAATATTTCCACTTACTTTATTTAAATATTCTTGAAATTTTTTTTTTGCAAGATTTCATCAATTCTTTTTGATAGAGCAAGAATAACTAAGTTTCAAAAGCAGTAACATCAGTGTAATATTTCATCAACTTTATTTGCCAACAATAAAGATAGAACATGTTCTTGCTGGGCCTTTTGTAGATTTTTGTCAGAAAAATGTTCCCAAATCATTGGAGTCATAGGGCCTAAACAAATAAGAAACTCTAAATTTTTTTTAAGAATTGTACAAAGTTTGAAAACTTACGTTTTTAAACATTGTAAAATGAGAATAAAATGAGAAAACAATTATTATAAAGGTTACTTATTATAAAAACTTACATAGAAATCTTTTTAGAAGTTTTGTTTTGCAAAGGTAACAAATCACTGTTTATAGTGTAGCAATAATTGTCAATTTTTAAAGCCAAGAATTTATCAGCACTATCTTTACTAATATAGTAGTTTGAAGAGCGCAACAATCTAAAATTTTTTTTTAATAAGCAACTTTAAAAACATATTAATAAACAATATACTAAAAATATGTTAAATTGTTTTCAAGAAAAGTAGTGATTCAGTAGGATATATAAAGTAGTGATTCAGTAGGATATATAATAGTCCTAATGTTTTTTACATAGAATATTGCTTTGAATGATTAAATAATACAATAATGCAAATATAGAACATTTCATTGACGTCTTATAAAAAATGGTGATAAAGATTTTAGAGCATTTAGTGAAAATTAAATTTGAATTTGATATTGTTGACAAAGATATTTTAACTTAATCAAGTGGTAGAACCAATTGGACTTAAAACATCTTTAGCATAATTAATCATGGTTTTGGAATACTGATGAATGTGATCCACTAAATGAAGACAAAAAAAAAAAAAACACCATCACTGAGATTATAAATAATAACGAGAAGGTATTATTAATGTTATTAGAATTCAATTAGAAACTACACTAACATACTCATTAAAAATAAATTCTAAATTGTTCATAGCAATTGCAAAATAAGACAACAAAAAATAGAATAGACTTTATGTAAATAGCCAAAAATTAAGAAAATTTCTAGCATAATACTTATTTAGGTAGAAGAAAAGCTGATAAAAAACCACAAGGAAAGACTTATAACCCTGAATTTTTCAAAAGGTGCCGCAATAAAAATGTTTACTTAGGTCAATAAAAAAGTTTGTAGAATCCCCTATGTAGTTTTATTAAATGTTAATCAAAATAATGTTCATCATTATCTATACAAAGTTTTATCTTTTCAAACAATCTTTCAAATTCTTTTTAATGCTCTTCTTTGGGTATACTTTGAATTAGCTTGTTTATGTGGTTTATTTGTCAAATGCTTTTTTATGCACTTTTTTAAAAAAATTTAGGGCTCTATGCGGGTCATGGTAAGTCAGTTATTCCATATATTTAAGTCATCTCATGTTTTTTGAAACTTTTTATACTAATGGTATTTAATTAACACATTTCAAATGGGTGTTTTAAATATTATTTAGACTGGTACTGATATCCGATTCGTTGATAAATAGCGATTCGCGCATCGTCTATAGAAACGTTATAAGTTATTTAAAGTTAAATATAATAGAAAATTAATTTCATAGCTCTAAAAAGTAATTAAGTATTGTTATTATATATGTATTTAATTATTTTTCTACCTCTTACTAAATTATATTGAAGTAAGTAATAAGTATAGAAAAGGTTTGTGTGGAATAGGTTTACCAAAACCCTTATTTTACAAGTCATGACAGCCAGTACTAATTTATTGGTTCAGGTTTTTGCTGAAACTCCGAACAGAGGTCAGATTTTTATACCTGCTTAATATTCAATTTTATTTATTTTAAAATTTTTCATATAAATTTGTTTAACAAAAGTTGAATAACTTTTTTAATACACAATAAAAAAATTTCAACAAGTATTTAAAATGTTTATAATTAAATACAGTATAAGATGACAAATAAATATTTAATTATTTCCTGTCTTATTGTAACTTTTTAGATCAAGTTCCACTAGCTTTTCTAATGATTTTTCTAATAAAAGTAGTTTACAAACCAGATATTAAATACTTGTACATTATAAAAAAGAAGGAAAAAAATGTAGAAATAAAATAAATTATACAACCTTCTTTTAAAAAAAAGAAAAAAATGAATATACTTTACGTCAACTATTTTTTTCTACTATTTGGACAAGATTTCAATTTCCTTAAATAGCAATTTAAAAAATTATATATATTTTTCTGCTTTTAAAAAACATTCTTACATATATTAAACTTAGGCCTAACTGCAATTTCCAGCAAAACCAAAAATAAAACACAAGCTGCATTTAAAATAATTGTTTCTTGAAAGAAGCATATAGCTTAAAATACATTAGATAAGAAAATGCAGATGTCAGCAATCACAATGTCAAATCAATTTTCTGACCTCAGTACAACTTAGCGAATAAAAAATTAAATAACATTTATAAATGTTAAGTTTAATTACAAAATAAAAATAAACTTAAAGTATGAACATTTAAAAAGTGACAACAAAATACCAGCAAATGTATTAAATTATCATTTTTGTCTTCAGATTAACCTATAACTTGATGCGCATATTATGAAATTGTTGAGATTTTGCATCTGTGATGACTTATGTGAATGCGAAAAGAAAGTCAAAGTGCAGATTTATTTTAAGCAATCACAAAGGTGACAAAAGCGCTCCTCTTCCAGCTCTATAAGGTTTCAAGTCTATCCCAATCAAACCACTGACAAGAACAAACCTTGCACGTGACTGCCTCATTTTCAGCATTGGACAACTCCAACTGAATCAGCCTCATCCATTTCAAGCTGCCAGCACACCCAGCACTTCCACAGGTCCATCAACACCAGCTGGATTTTATTTGAGACAGTGTGTTAAATGCCTCACAGTTTTTCATTGTGGATAACCACACAATTATACACCTGGAACCAGACATGCAATTTCCGAACCCTTGTTCATTCTGATGCTCTCGGAGTCCAACAAATTACTTCTTTTTAATCAAAAACACACCGTTCTCTCCTGGTGTAACAACCTGACTCAGTCAAGACCAAGGAGAAAAACATCTGCTTGTATTACAGGGTAAAAATTTTAATTTTTTATATGGAAAATAAGTATATTGCTTTAGGCAAAGTATTACAACTGTGTTTTCCTTTATTTAGGTTTATCTCTGCACCAGCCACTACTTCCAGAAACCTTGACAACAGCTGGTCTTGTGCAAGTGCAATTGAGTACTGGCTTATCAAATTCAAAATTGAGACAGCTGGAACTACACAAAATCAAGTTGGTGCCGACAGAGTTGTTGAGCCTTACTATTGTCAAATTGCTGATATAGACAAAAACCTTGATGATGTTTTTACAATTTCTTCAATAACATTCTTTGAAAAAGCTGATACAAAAGCTGCCACAAGACAAGTTGTGCATTTTATTGATGTAGAGCACTTTTGTCCGAAGATTGTTTCAGAAAAGAAAGTTCCTGCCAACCACACTGTGAAACTTGGCCTGGATGGAGGAGGAAGTTTTTTGAAAAAAAGAGTGTGCATCACTAATCACAATAAAAAAACAGAGAGCCCTGAGCAGAAAACTTGCATCAACAACTGTTGTAAGAGTTGCAACAAAAAGTAACTGTTTGCTATTGGTTGCAATTGATGAAAATGTGGCAGAAGCTCAGGGAGTCTTGAGAAGCGTTGGATTTACTTAAAACAGAGCTTTTAGTCATGTAGTGAGCATACATATTGCCTAATATCTGACCTAAAAAAATTATCGTTTATTCATTAATCTAAAAAAAAAGTTACCTATTTCTTTCTTAACATTGTATACAAGTATAAAAGCACATTTAGATTGGCAATCTGGCGTTATACTGTTTAGAAAACTGTGCGCGTTTCGGTACATTAACTATTATTAGAAGAATATGCAAGCGAGTTGCTGCCTCATCAATTGAGTAATTGGATAGATGCAGCAATAAGTTTTTTTCATTACATCTTGTTTTTTTTTCTTTTTGCAAAAAAACTGTATGGAATTATATATATGTGTATTTATATATGTATATATATATATATATATATATACATACATATATATATATACATATATATATATTTATATATATATGTATGTATAATTTTTAATTTATATATATATATATATATATATATATATATATATATATATATATATATATATATATAAATTAAAAATTAGTAGTATATCACTTAACAAATTTTTTTTTCATTTTACACTGTTTCATCAATCAATCATTCAATCAATCAATTATTTATTTCTGAATTGAGGTTTTACATTCAAGGATGTTTACAAATAGTAATATAAAGTAAACACCTACTAATTTTAATAATATCTAATTGAAATAAATATAATGCCAATTTTCACAATAGCTTCTCTTTAACTGTCAACTAATGATTAATAGAGTAAATTTCATATCATTAAATTTACAAAATTAAAACCATGTTTCAACAGTAAGCAAACTAATCAAGTGATAACAAAGGCAACTAAAAAAAAAAAAGAACATAATTACGTTTGAATTTATAAAAAAATTTAAAATTATTTAAATTTAAAACTATTTGATTTAAATTGTTTTAAAGTGTTTAAAATAAAATCAAATAAACACACATTAACACGGCTTGACACTGAATTCTGGCAAGTAAGTTTTCTGCTCGCCGAGCAGCATTTCAACATATTCATATTTCATTTCATCATTTCAACATTTTCATATTTCAACAACTTTTTTTTTAATTTTATTTTAGGTGCTCCAAGAAGTCCTCAAGGTCTTATCACAGAGCACCGTGGATAAGCATTTGATAGGAAGTTCACGCCTTCTTATTGATGTAAATAAAATTTTATTTTTATTTTTCGATAAAAGTTGCCTATCAAAAATAAAAATAAAAATTTATTTACATCAATAAATTGTAATTTAACAAAGAATCTAGACAACAATACATAATCTAAAAGTGTAAAAAATGAAGTAATATCACTCAATATATTTTACTCTAAAGTAATTAAAAAAAACCTATTAAACCTATTAAATCTAATGAAAATGTTAAATAAAAAAATATAGCAAACTTACTAAAATCAGTACCAGTTCTACTGCCTAAAAACTTTTATTATTAACCCTTCTGATAGTAATAAAAAAATAACAACAAAGTCATCTGAAGTTACTAAAAATCACATCACCTATTTTTTTTGTTTAGGTTAATTGTCCAACTAAAAGTCTATAAATATAATACTAAGATAATGTAACATGATTTCTAATCAATGTAGCATGTTCAGTGTTGTGAACCAATTTGATTGTAGCACGTTCAGGGATGTGAAAAATAGAGAACAAACCATAGGCTCTAAAAATTGGCAGACATACTTGATATATTTTAAGAGGATGACCTCTTGGGAAAATAACAACTTCACTGGAAGTAGGTGGAGCACCATCTTCACCAAAAAATACAACTGCAACTTCATTATGTGAAGTTATCTATCGTGCCCTTTTTTCTCCCTATTTCAGTTCAAAGTATTTGCTGCTTGCCGAACAGGATATCTAGCATTTGGTTGATTATTAATTTCATCCCGCCTCAGCCTATTTCTTGCATTTCTGTGACGACTATTTTCAACTTGCCTAATCACACTGTCCTCATTTTGATTCAAATTATTTGCGGCTTGCCATGCTGCATATCTAGCATTTTGTTGATTATTAATTTCATCTCGCCTCAGCCAATTTTGCATTTCTGCGAAGATTATTTTCAACTTGCATATTAACATTTCCATCATTTTCTAAACTAATAGCCACTTCTAGCCTTATATCATCCATTTAAACTTCACTTTTAATTGATAGTAGTAACAAAAAATCTGGAAAGAATCTTGAAGATTGTGATTTTTTTTTTTTTACTTCTCTAAATTGCACACACACAAAGAATAATTTTTAAAACATTACATAGGAAATTTTCATTTAAAATAAACCAAATTATACAACAATATTGTGAGTTTTTTATAAAAACATTTTTATAAATACGTCCGTTAAAAGATGTTTAAACAAAAAATTAACTTATAAATATAATGTAAATAAAAAAATTAACCAATAGTAATAAAAAAATAATAATAATAATAAAAATTTTAATGATAAATATAATACAAAAAAAAAGAAGACAAAAAATAAAAAGTAAAGTATTTGTAAACCCCTTTTAGTAAACTTTAATATTATTTCTATAAAAAAATTGTATAAAAAACATGCAAACAATTTAACCTTCACAAACAATGACTGTTCAAAAATTGTAGTTTAATTCATTTTTCTGAATTCTAAAGAAAAGAAAAAAATTTAACAGCATCACTGAAATGCCAATAATATAATAAGCAACATGACAAAGTTTATCAAAGATTAGTTATTTGTTTTTTTTATTACTTAATCTTTTTTCCAATATTTTATATTATTTATTACACATTAAAACCAGAAGATTAAATTTATTAAAGCTTTAAATAAGTTAAAGGCAGCTATAAACACTAAGTTAGTAAATTCAAAACAATCAAAAGAAATAAAATCTGCTGGAAATCAACAAATTAGTTTAAAATTATAACTTAAAAATATTACAAATTTAAATGTGATTTTTGTTATAGTTAATAAATTGCTGCAGTACATTTTTTCAAAACTGATTAACTGATATGGTATATATTCGAAGCAATATTAAAGCCATGTTATACTGTGAATCAAAAATTAAAGTAATAAAAACTATAAATAATAATCTAAACAAATACTAAAAAAATAAAAACAAACATAATTTAGAATATATATATATATTTTTAATGAAAATAAAAACCAAGGAAAAAACAGCAACAAAAAAATTGTTCATATCTTCACTGATTGAAGATATTAAAAAATTTTTTGTTGCTATTTTTTACTTGGTGCCTCCCAGCACCCCTATATGGATGAGCCCTCCATTTGAAAGAGGGCTTATCCATACCATTATTACTGCAACATTTGTTAAAGGACCTCTCAGAGAGTGGTCCTGGGTGCTGGGAGGAATATAGTCTGTAGCTGCTCCAATTTAGATCTAAAGAAAAAATAATAATATAATAAAAAATAGATATTTGCATTAAAAATAATAAAATAAAAACTCCTAATATAAAAAAATTAAAAAAAAAACGTAGTAACACCCTTTTAAGCAAACTTCAATACTATTTATTTGAAAAAAATTAGTAAAAATTTTTTAAAAATTCACAAAACTTAACAATATTTTGTTCTTCTATATCACATAAATACATCTTTGATAAATAAAAAATGTAACAAATAAGTAAATAAGAAAAAAATTACATACAAAAAAAGAAATCATTGTACCTGATAAAGCTGATGTGATTTGCCAGAGTAGTAGTAGCAGAAGTAGTAGTAGTAGTAGTAGTAGTAGTAGTAGTAGTAGTAGTAGTAGTAGTAGTAGTAGTAGTAGTAGTAGTAGTAGTAATAGTAGTAGTAGTAGGCTTTTAGTGAATCTAAATATTAATTTTAGTGAATGATTAAATGCAGTGAGGTCTAATAATGAAATTAACTATGTATAATTTTTAACAGTAGACAACAACTTGAAGGTAAACCAAATGTATATCAACTCAAAAGATTACAAAAAAACAACATCACAACAACAATAGCATTCACCATAAGTTCATATAATATGCATATAACATTACTTAAGAAACATAACATTCATATATAACAGAATATCAGTAACAACATTACGCAAAATGTTATTAAAATACATTATGTATTTTCAGAGTAATTATTAATCAAGGCTTGAAAACACCTAGACCTAAAGCTGTAACAGTTTGACACGAAACACTGCTTTGTAACCCTTTGCAGTAAGTGACTTGGCAGGCAAGGTTGACAAATCTTGCTTTACACGTTTACCAATTCACAGCACTTTGAAAACATGGAAATAACATAATATAAACATATAAACCAACTATAAACACAAGATATATATATATATATATATATATATATATATATATATATATATATATATATATATATATATATATATATATATATATATATATATATATATTTAAACATATTTAAACACATTTATAAAACAATTATATAACTAATATTACCACATACACAAACAATAAAAAAATATGTTACATTATTATAAAAACACATTGATAAAAAAGCTATAAAGCACATTTTTTTATTTTTATTTTATTTAATTATCATAAAAACAATGCAAACAATAAACATATAACTTGAATTGTGCAAACAAAAATTTTAAAAATGGTTTGAGAAAGTTTTAAAAGATTCAAAGTAAACAAAATATTTATATACAAACAATACTCATTACCTTTTTTTCATAAGAACTGTAATTCTCATAACAAAAATTTAATCTTTACATACAATAACATGTCAGTGTTGGCACGAAATTTTAATTCATTTTTCTAAATTTTATAAAAAAGAGCAAAAACAGTTAATAGCATCACAGAAATTTCATGGTAGTAACAAACAATTTTATTGAAATAGCATTAGTATAACTTTTTTGTTGCATAAAAAATAAATAGACCTCATCCATAAATCTACCTTCCTTCTAAAAAATAGAAGATATGCTCAATAAAAACAAAACTGCTAGAAAAAAATAAAGCCAAAAGAAAATCTAAAACAAACAAAATGTAAATGATTTACAAAAATAAAAGGAGTGATTCCTTCTACTTAATTTCTAATAAAAATGTTATATATAAATTGCTAAACTAATTTCTACACTTACTTCAATTATAATATGATCTTAACGATGATTATTTATCTTAATATGATTCTTTAAGTAAACAAAATCAAACGCAGTTTCAAATTTTAAATATATATATGATAGAAACCTCTACAATTTCATCTGTTCAACGACTGAATTATGATATATCACAACTCTGGAAAATTTTCTTTTAATTTAAGTCTAAATAAATAAAAAAATTATAAATAGAAATGGTAGGAAATGCTTACTGCTAGTATTTTTAGCATCTAAATAACTAAACAAAATAAACATAAATAAAAATGTAAGCAAATGTTTGCTGCAAATAAACAAACTACAATATTATAAAATAAAATAAACTAACATACAATATCAAATTTATATTTATGAACAAAACTCATTTATATCCTGTAAGTTATATTAAATAAAATATTTATTGAAAAGCCATAAAAGTTTGCGTGAAACAAAGTCAATAGTAACAAACAAATAGTAAATAAATAAAAAAAATCGTTAGGGCATCAACGCACAACAAATCTGATACAAACATTTAAAAAATTAATACAGCTTAATCTCCTTATTAAATATAAAGGCTTGCCTCGAGTAATTTCAAAAGTTTCAAAACTGTTTGCATTAGAGTATTTTACAGAATACAGAACCATTACTAATATTGAACAATAGTAACTAACGGCATTGAACATTGAACATTGACTTCTAGCAATTATATTGTAGATAATAATAATAATAAAGATAATAATAATAATATTAATAATAACAATAATAATAATAACAATAATAACAACAATATTAGCATTAGTAATAATAAAAGTTAAAAGTAGTTATCAATAGTAAATATTAGTAAAAATAACAAAATAACAATAATCAATAAAAAATATAGAATAGAATTTGTAAAAAAAAAGATATATATATATATATATATATATATATATATATATATATATATATATATATATATATATATATATATATATATATATATTAAGACAACAAAAATTGATTATAAAAATTATAAACATTAACTATATTTTTTTAATAAAAAATAGACTAAACTGGTTTTAAAAGTTGAGAATGAATTGAGAGCTTTTAGTTCATAAGGAAGGTTGTTCCAAGTTTTAGTGCTTAGATATTTTATAGATTTATGCCCTCAATTATGAGAGACAGGTTTAAATTACTATCGGAAGGAAGGTGGTAACGATTGTTGGCACTTTTTGGAAAGAAATTAATGAAAGTTAAAGGTAGGTTATTGTGTTGGTGGTTCCAGACAAATCGACAGTTTAAAAGTTGAATATAGTCACATAGTTTTAATAATTTAGAAGTTAGGTAGAGCACATCAGGATTAAATTTAATATTTTGAAAATGAATAATTTTTAAAGCCTTGTTTTGGAGGTGGGATAACCTAATAAGAGCTTGTTGATGGGACTGCCCCCATACTTGGCAAGCATATCTAAGATGTGAGTCAAAAAGAGCATGGTATATGTTCAAGAGTGTCTCAAAAATAACATAATGGCGAATTTTGGCCAACATACCATTAGATCTACTTAATTTCATTGCTTAGTTTTTACAGTGGGATAAAACGGAAAGATTTAAATCGATTTTTATACCAAGATATTTAATTGAGTTAACATGTTCAATTTTTTTGCCACCTAATCTAAAGTTCATATGTTTATAGATTTTTGTTTTATTTGATTTAAAGATAATGAGTTCAGTTTTATTAGAGTTTAGAAGAAGTTTGTTGGAGCGAAGCCACTGAACTAGATTGGCAAGATCATGGTTAATGTGTTTGCTAACTTTTTTAAGGGATTTATTAAATAGTATTAGATAAGTATCATCAGCAAAGTGGTAAACAGTAACAAACTTAATGGATGTATGAAGATTATTAATATAAAGAAGAAAAAGCAGTGGTCCTAATACTGAACCCTGAGGAACACCATTAGAACATTTTACAAGGGTAGATTTTGAGTCATTAATAGAAACAAACTGTGTTCTATTGCTTAAATATGTTGTGAACCATTTAAGCGGTACGCCTCTGATCCCATAATATTCTAACTTTTTCAACAAAATTGAATGATTCACTGTTTCAAATGCTTTATGTAAATCGACAAATACACCACATGCAAAATATTTATCATCAAGTGCTTTTCTAATTAGTTCAGTCATTTCAATGAGAGTATGAGTTGTGAAGTGATTGGCATGAAATTCATACTGATGGGTGTAAAAGCATTTAAAATTTTCAAGAAAAGAATATAGCCTATTATGCATTGCCTTCTCAAAGAGTTTACCTATATTAGAAAGCAGAGAGATGGGTCGGTAATAGGTGAAATCTAGAAGAGAGCCTTTTTTAAATATTGAAATAATTTTGGCAACTTTAAAAATATCTGGGAAAATACTTTTAAATGAGTTATTTATAACAGTACAGAGAGGCTTTAAAATAATGTGTGAGACTAGTTTGAGGAGAAATGGAGGTACGCTATTAGGACCAAGACTTTTTTCTGTTTTAAGCGTGTTTGTAATGAGACCAGATACTTCATTTTCAATTACTGAATTAATAAAAAACGAATTAGCATTTGGAATGTTAAGAAAGTCACTAAATATGCGTTTAGGGGGTATGGCTTTGCTAAGTAGTTTGTTGTGAATTGTGCTAAAGTAATTATTAAATATATTAGATACGGCAGTGTGATCAGTGATAAGATTTTCATTCAATTTAAGTTTTAAAAATGTATTGTGTGTAGAAGGTCTAATATTAATGATTTCTTTTATTCCCTTCCAGGTGTTTTTAATATTGTTCAGATTATTGTTAAAATAAGTAATAAAGTATGTTTTTTTGCTAAACTTTAATAAATTAGAAAATTTGTTTTTATAAAATTTCAATTTTGCAAATAATTCATTTTTCTTATAAATATTTTTTGATTTTATAAACTTTTTAAAAAGTTTGAAATAGATTTAAGTATTCCATACGTAATCCAATGTTTTGATTTTCGTTTAATTTGTTGGTTGGTTAGTATTTTATAAGGAGCATGTTGGTCTAAGATTTCATCAAATGTTTTTAAAATAAAATTCATGGATTTATTAACATCATCATCTTTTTTAATGAAGAGTTCCCAGTTGATATTAGAAATTTCTTCAATAAATATATTTTTATTAAATTTTTTGAAGCATCGCCTGTAAGTTTTTACTTTTTTGGGGTGGTGGGGTATGCCAGGAATGCAAATAAATTGTGCCATGTGGTCTGAAATTGAAATAGTAAGGTTACCTGAGAATTGATCAGTTGAATGAAAGTTAATAAATATGTTATCAATTAACGTTTTTGATGTAGCGGTTATGCGTGATGGTAAAATTATAGAAGGGCTTAGCAAGTAAGATATTAAAGAATCTAGATATGTAGAAACAGGGTTAGATTCATTGTGACTTAATAAACCTATATTAAAATCACCCAATAGAAAAATCTTTTTTTTTTCGTTACTTAACTTTTCAAGTAGAGGAGTTAAGTGGAAAAAAGTAGATTCATGTTTATTCATTGAGTGATGACAATAAATGCAACCAATTATTTTATTTGATTCAAATGGGATTAAAATTTCAACAAAAATAGACTCTAAATGTTTTTAAGAGTAAATCATAAGATCATTGCGAACAACATTCGCAAATTTAAACAACAGTTTAAATTTGCGAATGTCGTTCAAAAATTTTTTGAGTTAAGTAGTTTTTTTCGCAAATTTCAAACTTTTATACTTACGCTCAAATTTAAACGACAGTTTAAATTTGAACATAAGACTACAGAGTTTGTCAATATGGAATGGTAGAGAAACGATGTTAAGATGAATATATAGTTCTGAATTGGGAAGCATAGTTTTATTGAGATCAACAAGCTCATAGTATTTGCAATTAACAGAACTGGGAAATTTATTTAGATCTTTAAAGATATTTTTATGATTACTTGGAGTCTCAAAAAAATATAATGAACTAGTAGATAATTTTTTTGCATAATAATGTTGACTTAAGCTCCAAGTTGGAAATCGAGCTAAAGGCCATACTCTTAGATAAACAGCTACGACAATACAAATCTGACGAGTCATCCAAAAGAAGGTTATATGATTGTGCATTGATATGGTTACACTTTGCATGGACCCATGAGTTACAAAGATCATATTGGATGGCTCTTAGATTGTCAGTATCTCTTTGATTATATTTTTATGACAAGTATTGCAAAGAGATTTAAATGCCATAATCTTTAGAAAAAATATTTATATGTATATACAGTATTAACTAGTTAAAGTGACTAAAGTGTGAAATAGAGATTTAAAAAAAAAAAAAAAAAAAATGCAAAGTAGAAGACTAAATTTATTAATTAAAAACTTGAGTAACCGTTGGCACAAATAATCAAAAATAATTTTAATAATAATATAAAGAAATGATAGAAATAATTTGTAACACTAAAGAAAGCTAAAAGCTAACAGTTATAAAAATAAACAATCAAAATAAATAAAACTTTGACAAACCACAAACTAATATTAACAGTAACTAAGACAACTATCAAATATCAACAGATATGACAACAGAAATATCAAATATAATATATCAAATATAAAAAAATAACTAATAATACTTAATAATATCTATATTATATTAATAATATATACTAAAAATAATATAACTACTGTTAACTGCTACCAATAATAATATTGTTAACAAAGATACTAAAATAGCAATAAGTAAAAATAAGTCAATAATAAATAAGTTTATAAAAATATAATATTAAAAATATATGTAATAAATATAATATAAGTAGGTATCATACTAAAAATAAATACAACTAACTATAAAAAAATAATACAATGTGAGAAAACAAATAATAATATAATGAATAAAAAATAATAACAACTAATGAATTAAAAATAATAATAGCTAATGAATTATAATTACGATTACAAGTTATATCGTAAAAAAGAAAGAATTATTTAAAAAAAAAAAAATCTTCGAGCTCTACATTTGCTTTTTCTTCTTTCTTTTTAAATTGATTATTTAATTCCTCATAACTTTTCTTTCTTTTTATTTGTTACTTCACTTTACTTTTGTTCTTTTGTTTACCTTTTTTTTTTTTTTTTTTTTTTTTTTTTTTTTTTTTTTTTTTTGATTAAGTTTATGAAGTGTTTTTTTTTTTTTTTTCTAAATTCGAAGTTCTTTTTTTTTTTTCTTTTTACGTATACTTTTTTCCTTTTTGAATGATTTTTTGTGCGCT